TATATATATATTTATATATGACTTCTTTTCTTCTCCATGTATTTTTCTTCATTAATGGAGATACTCTAATGGTAGATTAAAATTCTGATTGAATTGAATAGTGCTTTCGTTTATATATGGCTGCGTTCAGCAGAACACAATAGTTTTTTGCAACCGTTTTATGATTTTCTGCTGAAATTAGCCATTCCTCTTGATCTAAATGCATAATCAGCGCGTAGAAAACTTCCAACAGTTGTAAACGTTCTGCTGAACGCAGCCTATCTGTTTCGCAAAAATGTGTTGACATTTGTATGCATAATACAACATTTTGTTTCCAAGATTTATTTTAGTTATTGACAAATTATTTAATATTACTCTAAGATTTATCGAGTTTTGCTTTCTTCGGTTTGTGTCTCATTATGTGCTTATGTGGCCTCTTTGTACCAGTTTTTGTTTGAAACAAATCTAAAATAGAATCACAATGTTGTTTAGTAAATTAAATATCTCTAATATATTTAAAATATTAAATTCTAAACATATTTATACCTTTATCAGGCTCTTCTCCTACTTCTTCACGATAATACTGCGCATCGTCATCTTCCTCCAGTTCACTCTTTTCAGTAGATTCCTTCGCAATTTTTTGTAGGAGCATATCATTTTCTCTCTTCTTCCGAATTCCTTTCAATGATTTCTCTTTATGTTCTTGCTTTTGTACTTCTTTCTTTTTCTTATTTTCTTCCTGCAATCTTTTTCTTTTTTCCTTCAATTTCTTCTTTTCTTCTCTTCTTTTCTTTATTGCAAGTTTCTCCTCTTCTGTTTTATGTATAAATTCATGATAAAGTACTTCACCATCGAGGAGTCCATTCTCCACTTTGATTAACTAAAACACATACAGTTAACGTTAGAAAGATCAAGATATCTATAAATTTATTACTTGTATTAATCTCAATTCATTTTTTAACCTGCAATGTTATTCTCGGTCCCAGTTCGAATAATCTAATTGCACTTTTAGAATTAGCTTGATTTCCTCTTGAAGACAATTTTTGTGATAACGTGACATGACTATTTTCATCATCTTCTGCTTCACTTTCGGACATGGTCGGTTTTGTTAAAAACTCCGAAATATCTTGACATTTAGATAAATTCGGTATTTTAGCTTGCACTAATTTTTTTATACCTTTTGATAAACCTACAGGTACAACTTTGATCGCATAATGTCTGAAGTCAATGGTTTTAGATGTTGTATTGTAATTTAAACATATACAACGACGGATTGTGCTCAAATTAATCTATAAAAATATTTTAACAAGTTAATGGTTCTTAAATTAACTGTTTTAAATTAACTGTTTTAAATTAACTGTTTTAAATTGCATTTCTTAAATTAACTTGTTTTACTTACAGTAGTCAAATTTATAGTTGGAAACATGTTCTGAAAAGTAGAAGCTATAAGTTTTAGTTGCATGCCTTCCCCACTGAAATTATTTAAAATCAATAGAGGAGAACTTTTGAAGGCTTCCTCGTATACCAGCTGCTTCTTTAACATAGATATAACATCTCGTGTCAAGGAAAAACTATGTATCTTGAAAGTAAGTGTAGGTCCTCTAGGCAATCTATAATAATATTAAAAAATATTATCCAATAAATCGATTCACGAATTAATTAAAATAACCATCTTAGTTTTCTTATTGAAAAATTTCATTAAAACGAATACAGTACTTGCAAAGCTTAAGGTACATTCCCAATTCTGTTTTTGTGAATATACACATGTGACTAACATGCAGCACGCTTGCAACAGAGACAAAGTCTTTAATAGTATTTTTCTTTCGAACTTTCAAAGATGAAGCTGTAAAAGGTTCCATAACTTTGCGAAAATCTTTAGTAAGATCAATGATATGATCTCCTGGCAACCCACGATGGAATACAAAAGAATGAGGTGCTTTCACCAACTCTTCCTTCTCTCCCACATTTATTTGCTTATTTCGTTTCACACATCGGCCCTAAATGAAACATTTATTTTAATTATAAAACTAAACTGTCTTTAATTATTAGTATATTATTAGTATATTATTCTCACAGCAAAATTGTTACAATTGTGCATAACATATAGAGACTCAATAATTTTTATATTAACTTAATGATAATTTTATTAAATATTTTTTTTAGTTGCTAATTTATATTATATTTCATTTGTATAATTGTGTTTGCAAATAACGAAAATGATACCTTTCTTTTATGACCCATTTTTAGCTAAGTTATTAGATTAGAATTCTTAAACTTTTTAGGTTAGAATCAGAATTCAGTACGTGATTGAAGGCACAACAAATCAAATGAATGAACTTCACATAAAAATTCTAGATTTAAACATAAAGAGAGAGCCAATAATTTACTTTCTTATTTTAAATATAAAATAATATTATCTTCTCTCTCTTGATCACTTTTTCTTGCGCTATACATGCTCACGTATCCCACGTGTGTTTAAAGTAGAAACCTATTATAAATCATAAATTAGAAATTAGGAATTAGAAACACACTTCAATTTTCAGAAAAATAAAATATATTAAGAAACCATTTTTCTTGAGAAATAGAAAATTAAAAATTAATATTTGTTTTATAATTTAAAATTTTTACAAAAAAAATTTTAATTGACAATCGATAAGTTATCCATCATCGCCTATATAGTAAATAACTTTATTGGCTACTAATTAAGTTAATTACTATCCATCACGTATAATATATAAATCTCTATAATTATCGATATATTATGATACATATTAATTATATATACACCTGCGCGCGCGCGCGCGCGCGTGTGTGTGTGTGTGTGTGTGTGTGTGTGTATAATATTATGTTATTATTCCAATTGTCAGTTCATTTTCGAATGAAAAAAGAATTCTTTTCAGAATTGTTTAGAAAAAAATTCTTTTTGTATCTGAAAATGAATTCTAAATTGATGACATAACAATTGCATTCTTTTTAAATTTATTTTGCACTCTCTGTGTTATCTGGATATTTAGATTAGACATAAGACATTTAAAAGATATCTTTTAGATATCTTATACAACATAAATGTTGCATAAGATATTGTTATTCTTTTCCTAAAAATAGAAAAAAAACAAGTATAGATAACACGACAGAAACTATTAAGAAAATACAACAAATGACAAGAAAAAAAATAAAATTATAGTATAAACGTCTCTTTATTTTTAAATATATAATAATTATTTGAATTTATAATTATTGTTTAAAAATTTTAGTATAATATGTACATATGTCTGTCATTGAAGAAAACGATAAAAAATACAATATAAATGCAAATAAGTAAATATTTTTTTTTGTATTTTTTAGAACGAGTA